GGGGCTTTGGGGAGAAAAAGGGGGAAAAAAAAGAGGAGGATTGGCAATAGACGTTAGCTTAGGGCCAGTCTTCCTCAGCAAAAAGAGGTGGATTGGCATGGATGTTAGCTCAGGGCTGATCCTCCTCACAAAAAAAAAAAAAAAAGAAAGAAAGCTTTTCTAACAGTAAATGCTAGAGGTTTCCTTTCCAGAGATCAGTATAAAGCCAGAGGGAAGCATTTTCCTCATAAAGTAACTACAGAACATATTGCATCATAATAATTTAATAGAGTAATGATGTTCCTTTCATCCTGACGTTTCTTTAAAAGTTTTATTCATTTCTGAAAAAAACCCAGACATTCACACAAACACTTAAACTACTTGCTTTGCTCGTTCTCCCACAATTTATTACATATAATTATTGAAATCGTGAGGACTGAGATGTTGCAATAGAACAGCTGAAGTGGAATGTTCCATCGTTTGTGAAGAGTGTTGTGACCTCTCGTGCTTTAAACTCGTCGTTTCTCTTTGAAGTAGGTGGAATGATATTGATCAGAAAATCTGTCATCTTCATAAGCTTCAAATTAAAAAAGCAAAATAGGGTTTAATATTGCCACTTGCCTTCAACAATTACATTGAGATGGTAGTGAATATCTTACTCAAAGTTACGAATTAATATGCCCAGCACAAGCTAAGTAGTTTTTTTTTTTATTCTTAGCATTTTTTATTCAAAAATTAAATCACATGGAGTCGATGTAGGATCTGCCAACTGGGAGCACGCAGGAATCTAGGGTGGTTGCCCTCAAATGCTGATCTATGGACTGAATGCATTAGAAGTACCCAGGGAGCTTTTCTAAACAATGCAGATGCTCCAATCCTAATCCCAGAGGGCAGTGCACAGCCAGGTATGCAGACCACTAGCTAGGGTTTTCCAAGAATGACAAAATCAGATACTCCCCCCAAAACTCTTCCACTCACAGAGAAGTTTTGGAAGCACTGCACACTGTATCTGCTTCAGAGATTTATAATGTACCTCATGATATGGTAGGATTTTGGAAGTCCAGCAGTAAAGAAACAAGCTTAGCCCAGCATTTCCCAAACTTAAATGATATGTGACCTTGGAATCCAGTTTTTGTATGACAATCAAGATTTTCCCAGGAGATGGTTTAGGGGAAGGCAATCTACCACAGATTTCCTAACAGGTGCATGGTGGGGAGAGGTCCCTAGGTGTGCGCGTCCAGGAGTGGGGCAGAGTGTGAGATCTGTATATCAAAGAGAGTGGGAGCTTATGAAGACTGGGAAGCACTGATCCTAAAGGACTAATGTTCACCTGGTACCTACTATATGCCAGACCCTGGTTGGGTTCTTTACCTACATGGATTTATTAAATCTGCATAACATCCCCATGAAGTTGTTATATAAAGATGAGAAAAACAAGGCTTCGGAAGACCTCACACCTGTAAGTAAGTGTGAACTCGAGGTCTTTATCTCGTGCTTGTTTGGGAGGGAATGACGGTGAGATCTGGGATCAGTAGAGGGGTTGGCTAGTGGCAGTTGCTATTAAAACCTTCATTTTCCAGAAAGACATTAATTGTAGAAATAATATTCTATGCATTTAATTCATTTTATACTGCTTTTATTTTTTGAGAATTTTCAAACTGAACATCCTCCCGTGGGTTTTTGATAGCTGCTATCACAATAAGTCAGGGTATTGCTCTATTTAAATTATCAGGATTTTTAATAAAATTGCTAGCACTGTCTTTAGAATCTAGATCAAGTATCAATTCTGGGGGTATAATTACCAGTGTTTGCTTAAAATTAACCTTGCGTGACCAGGCCAGTGACCTTGAGTCATAAGTCAGGGAAAGAGGGAAACTTCCTGAGTCATCATGGGTGTCCTTGCAACTTCTAAAACAAAAGTGCAATTTTATATCCTGTGTGGAATGCCTTGAGCAGGCTGTTTTACCATTTATTTGATCACCCTTAAAGGAAAAGGGCCTGTGTACCATGAGTCAGAGTTTAGGGGGCTGGAGTGAGAATAATACTCTTTAGGTGAATAAAGAGATCCTGAGATTGGGAAGTGGAGGTTTCCTGCAAGCCACGAGCATTTATCCCATGTGCCCAGGCCTCCAAATTCTCTCCTTTCTCCTGTTTCTCATTCTAGGTTCTCTCTTCCTCCTTTCATTAAAGTGCTTCATTTTCTTTCACAGTACTTGTCCTAGAATAGCTTATCAGAGTTTCTTCCCCCACTTGCCAAGCTATTCCAGCCCCCACCCCCAGGCCCTGTTCAGTCCATCATGGCTCAGAGCTGGGTGTCCATTCATTGCCTTCACTGAGGTTTATATTGAAGGCCAATATGAGAAGTGACTAGGTAAAGAATATCTCAACCCCTGAAAAGCCACTTCTGAAGACATTGTACGTTATATTATTTAGTGTTTCTCATGGAAAAGAGCCACATAATAAATATCTTTTAGAATTCAGTTCCAGAAATAAAAATATATAATATGTTAAAAATAAATTCATTTTATATTATATAGAGAGTGAGTGATGAGCCAGATTGCTTCTCTTTGCAACAAAGCAAGATGTTTCTGTTTTGGCCTTGAAGAAAGTTTGCTTCCCAATTATAACATTATATAATATTTTTTCCTATTTCTATTTTAGAAGTCATATTAAATACATACCTGCAGTTCTTCTAAAAGTAGTGGTAAATATGTTACTCTGTTGATTTTTGATCACTACATATTTGCATTTCTAAAGCCCAAATTGCATTATAATTTCTCCCATTCTGTGATTCAGATCAGGATACTCTAAAGTACACGTGTGAGGGGAAAGATGATTATCATCAAATGGGTACTGCTAGGAGTCCCCAAAATGTCTTTAAGTGACTTTTCTTATTACTAAAGTAATACCCATTGATTGTAGAAAAAGTTGAAGATGCAGATAGGCAAAAAGAAAAGAATCATCTTTGATCTCCCAATCATTATTAGCATTTGGCTTTCCAAATATGACTTGCCAAATATTTTTTAATTGCACATATATATATTTTTAAAACAACATCTTTCTATGTCACTGAAGGGGAAATACAAGTAACACATTCATAGAACCCATAACCACTTGTAATTATAAGATACTGCCAGAATACTTGGACAATAGGAGCCAGGCAGAGTAAGTCAAATCAATAAAATTTATTTTTTCCAATATTAGAGGTAAGTAGTAGAATAATTCAAAATTGCTTTATAGCTCCTGATTTAATTTTTGAATTAATTTTAAAAGTCAAAATTAATTAGAAAAGTATACATTGAGAAGTCCCACCACCACCATCTTCAACCGTCCTGTTCCTTCACCTGGTTTCCTATGGTAATGACTTTTTTTTTTTTTACCACTTTATTGAAGTATGATTGACATGTAAAAAGTTGTACGTATTTAATGTATACAGCTTGCTGAGTTTTGGGATAAGTGTACACCCATGAAGCCATCACCACCATCAAGGCCATAGACATATTCATCACCTCCCAATGTTTCCTCTCACTCCTGTTGTTGTTATTATTATTATTATTATTATTATTATTATTATTATTATTATTATTATTATTATTATTAGTGTGGTAAGAATACAACATAAGATCTACCCTCTTAGCAAATTTTAAGTATACAAGACAGTATTGTTAGCTATAGGAACTATGCATATAGTAGATCTCCAGAACTTATCTTGCATAACTGAAACTATACGCTTTGACCATTAGTTTCTTGAGTTGGATAAAAATATATATTCCCTACACAAATGAAAGCTAGCATATTCTATACATTCTTCCACACCTTGCTTTTTTCACTTGACAGCCTGCCCAAGAGATCTTCCATGTGAAAACATAGACTGCTTTGTCATTTTTTATCACTATGCAACATTAAGTTCTGTAGATGTGCCATAGCTTAAATACTTTGTCACCTACAGACCACCTTATGCTATTACAAACAGTGCCACAATAAATAGTCATGTATAGACACCATCATATACATGTGTGGATACAACTATAGGAAATTTTCCAGAATTAAAACTGCAGAGACAAAAGATAAGTACATTTTTTATTTTTATAGCTATTGTCAAGTTGCCCTCTCTAAAGATTACACCATCTTCCATTTCCATCAGTATGTTTCCCCACAGCCTCCTAATTATTTTTTATTTGAAAAATTTTGTGTGATTTTTAACAAGCAAATTCCATTCCAATGATGCTGGCTTTTTAGAGTTTATATTCTCTGAACTCAAACCAACTGTTTAATATATTAATTTGAAGTAAGTATAGTCAACTCTTTATTATTTATTAACACAAAAAGGAGCCATGGCACAGATATCCACAATGGCAGATAATTCAGTAGTAATTCAGTTCAGCTTTGAAATATATTGTGACTTTTTCCCCGTTAAATTTTCTTTCCTAATGATGTCTGCGTTAGGAAACATTAACTCACAGTTTTTAGCACAAATTGGGCTACTAGTGGAAGAAGAAGGCCAAGAATTAGAAAGAAGACAGTGTAGTATTTAAAATTTTTCCACTTTATCTGTGGGATCGTAGATGATGTTTATTTTGTTCTTTTTGATATCTATCTGTCTATGTTTTAGTGTTACAATGTGCCCAGGTTACTTGTCTAAAAAATAGACTCATAGTTGCTGTTAAAATGAAAGGTCTCACACAAGTATAATATTTCATTATTTTCAGCCTGAGAAGTGTAAACCCCTAAGGAAAACAATATTGTTTTCAGTAGCAATTATATATATATACACCCATATGTATTATTATATTATATATATAGTTATAATATATATGGAATTATATATATAAATCAATCAATATAAATTTAATGAAATTCCAACATATTTAAAACTGCACCTCACCATGTATCACTCAGAGAGTGGAGAAGCCACGTGTAAGTAATTGGGAGTTTACAGGGTTGTGTTGGCCTCAGTATAATCCTCTGGGTGTGGTCAGCAGTACAGAGGTGTCTGATGCAGCCTTTCTCTCCCCTTACAGCATCTTCCTCAAAGAGCTGGAGAAGTACGAGCAGCTGCCTGAGGATGTGGGACACTGCTTTGTCACCTGGGTAACCAACCTGAGATCCTTCTTCCCCCACTGTCCCATGCTTTCCAGGAGTGCACCAGATGGCATTACTGTTTGGTGTCTGACCTGAGTATAAGTGTCACTGCTAGTCTAACACAGGACCAGCGACGGCAGAAAGGGGTCATGAGTGGATCTGAGAGAAGCAGTCCATCCCCGAAGAGCAGAGCCCTCCTTGGGAAAAGTTTTTAGACATCATGTCCAAACTCCATCTTAAGCTCTCTAAGAACTTTCTAAAACTGAGATATCGGGAGAGAGGAAAAAGACCACCACCATTGATAGAGGAACTAACTAGCTCGATCCACTAGTTATTTTTACAGGATAGGGATTAGGGAATTAGAACTTTAGGAAGCTGCCTAACCTTTAGGTATATTTTCTTTCTTGATAGAGAAGAACAAACTTCTTGGGTGTCCATCCCAATTCTGACCTACAAGATGAGTGTCTAGTCATTCTCTTTCTTGGTGCTCTTGTTATGGGCTAAGTAAATGGGCTGAATGTACCAGGTTCTAATTATAAAAATAGAAACATTAGTCTCCATTAGTCTCTCCACTCCACATTATTCTGAGCTCAGGTTCGTGATATGAGTGCACATATCTCCAAGGAAGTCCACCCAGGGCACTAACTGCAACTAAACATGGAAATCTTTCTCCAGGGTCAGAAGTTCTAATATTAGTAATTATCTAATTATAACTTCCACTCAAAGTGGGCTAATTGCTTTTCAAAATGTCTTCACAATTCAGAGAGTTTATGCTTTCAACAGCCCTGTGGAACAGGCAGGACTATGGTTATGTTTTAGAATTTATGGGTGGAAACATTTCAGATGAGATAGATGGTTGACTGTCCACTGACATGTAATAAATATCACAGCCATTCCCACAACTCAAGACCTGAGTTGCTTTCTTTTCATGAGACCTTAATGTTTGCTTCTTGGCATACTTTCATTTCTTAAGGCAGGCTCAGATGCCATCTCATTTTGTGCTAATACATTTTCTACCTCTAAGTACATGAGCCCATGCACAGATCACATTAATACTGATAAATAACTTATGATCTCTTGCACAGCCAATGTAGAGAAAAAACAAGATTGACCATTAAGTAAAGGGATTTTTTTTTTCATTTTGTTTCATAAAATTTGTGGATTTACCTTACAATCAACCATAAGTGTGATTATCAGCATCTCTTAGGGATGATGAATGCCTCTTAGGTAGTATATAAACCCTAAAATTGGTTTCAGAAAAACTTTGGTGATTACATACAATATACACCTTTTGCCAAGAATTATTCCAAGGTGACTTTCTTAAGTCTCATAATCTTAATATGAGTGTAGTGCGGGAGTGAAGGGTAGACAGAGGTGTTTGTAATGTGTTGAAAGGCAGTGGTTACGACCAAGAAGCCTGAAGTCAGCTTGTGTGGGCTCTACCACTGTCTAACTGGGAATTTAAAGTCACTTAACCAACCTATGTCACAGTTTTCACATCTGTAAAATGGGGATAATAATAACAGAACTCACCACAGGGGTCTCATGAGGATCAAATGAGTTAATAAAGCACTTAGCAAAATGCTGGCATAAATGAAATCTGATATATGAACACATGTCTAGGCAGCTCTCTCAGAAGATGACATCCTAAATATTGTATAGGCACCAAGATAAGCAGCATTTCAAGAATGGGAAAAGTACTTGGTGGCCAAAATACACGTACCTTTCCCAGTGGAAAGGGTGTTTAGCACTAACCCAGAGGGTCCTGAGGGAAATAGGAAATGAATTTTCACAAAACCATTAGGTTCTTGAAGTAACAATCCAGTTAGGGATCATTGTTCAGACCCTGCCCCAAAGGGCCATCCTGCTTTCCTTTCCCTCCATCATTGCTTCAGGGAAGTTGGGGATGATGGCATGGTCGCTTGACATGCCCTACAAACTCCCCCCGTGGAGACATTTGATGTCTACCTCTGATACTACACTTGATCTTAGCCAAAAGGCCGAGAAGCGATGATGTCTACCTCTGAGATCATACATCATTTTCATTCTTTGATTTTTGTTTTTAGAACAAATGCTGTCATTTTTTAAAACGAGAAGCACAAAAAAGGGGAATAATCTTTAAAGAAATTCTGCATGGCTTCAGAATACATTGTGATATGTGAACTGGTTTTTCTGAGTCTTTCTAGCACAGACTAGTATTAAATTGAGCTTCCTTTCAGCAAGCTGTCTCCACCTGCTGATAGGAGAAGAGCCTCCTGGAGGTCATTAGGGGAGCCGGGGCCAGATGAGCCAGAACATTCGCACAGATAATCCAGGCACCAATATCCGAGGGTTTAACTGTACAGCTTTTGCTGGCCCTTCAGGCGCAGTGGACAGAAGGGGGCCACTAATGGGTGCTTATCTATCATTGTCTTTTTTCTTTTTAGGCAGACAAGTTTCAGATGTATGTCACCTACTGTAAGAACAAGCCTGATTCTAACCAGCTGATCCTGGAGCATGCAGGCACCTTCTTTGATGTAAGCTCTGGTTTTCCGTTCTTGAGCCCTTGAGGAGCAGGTGGAAATGCTTCTCTGCTTTGGAATAGGGGATTTTTAATTATCCTTTCTTCCTCCTTTTTCTTTACTGGCCACTCTAAACCTTTATCTCATGGATAAGCTTGGAGAAAAACAAAAGCAGTGTTTGTGTTTTGTTTTACCCCATCCCATCTCAAGTGCTATGATTTCGGACAAGGCATATTTGTCTCCACGCCTCAACAGCAAACCTAGCTGGCCATAAATCTCCTGTTTAGAGGAGGCCTACTATGATGCAGGTGTTGATTAAAATGTTTCACTTCTGCCTCGTGTACAGCTCCCTCAAATGTAGGGGTTCTCAAAGTGTGGTCCTCAGACCAGCCACACCAGGATCACCTGAGAACTTATTAGGAATCCGTATTTTTGGACCCCCTCCCCTCCAGATCTATTGATTCAGAATCTCTAAAGGTGGAGCCCAACAATCTGAGTTTTAAGAAGCCCTCTATGTGACTGATTCCCACTCAAGTTTGAGAATCACAGCTCTAATGCGGTTGTGTCAGCCTTGGCCACACGTTGGAATCACCTGGGGAGCTTGGAAAAGTACTGATTCCCGGGTCCCGCTCCTGATCTTCTGATAGGACTGGCCTGGATTTGGCCTGGGCGTTGAGAGTTTTTAAAGTTTCCGGGTGAGAGTGGTGTGCAGCCGGGTTGAACACTTCTGCTGTGAGGAGGTGGGGGAAGAGGCAGGGCCAATGTGACTTGTCAGGTGCTTTGGTTTTGAATGAGGATCCAGTCCTGTTGGTGAATGAGGATGTGAGTCTATGTAGTGCTGGTCCCCAGAGAGTGACCTATTGGCTCTAACATGAACAGAATCAAATAGGTCACTGCAGCATGCAGGGATGAGCAAGAAGAAGAGAAGAAATGAGGGAATAAAAGGAAGTTCAGTGGGAGACAGACTGTAGCAGTGATGGCCATTCTGGTAGTCATATCAGAAGCGACAGAAACTTGAAATTCAGAAATTTTTAATGTCTATCAGTCTATCTATCTGTCTGCCAACCTGCTTTCATTCCTTCCATAAATATTTGAATGTCTGCTGTATTCAAGATAGTGTGTGAGGCTCCATAGGGAAGACATTTAAATATGGTTCCCGTACTCAAGTTTACAAAATAAACCTTCTCTGAGCATCCTTGTAGGCTGACACTGCTGTAACAGAAATGATTCTACAAGTATCTTGTTGCTCAGTGTGAAGGAACGACTCTTGAACGGTAGAAAACCAGATGAGAAAAAGCAAAATGACTTTTTAAGTGGAGCATTAATATGAAAATTGTCCTAAGTGTCCCAAACTGGAATTTCTGAGGTTAGATTTGGTAAAACAGAAAATCCAAGAAAAATACTACTCTAACTTGGTATCAGAATTTATTAGATGCTCTATACCACTATTATCTTTACTTAATAATGTATTTCCCTTCAAATGTTTCTGGTTGAGTATTCATCAACAGTATCCAGAAGGGTCTTTTTGAAGTTTTAAATGCATTATGCCCTGTCTTCCACTTAGCATTTTTCTAAACATGCGTGTCCTGTGCTCTGAGCATGCCTCAGACTCCTGCTTCCTTATCTTTGCTCGTGCTGTTCTCTTTGCCTAAGACGAATTGTGCCCCAGCGTGCAGGCAAGCAAGCATGAGCACGTGCACACGTGTAGACACACACAGAGTCACTCTTCAAGATTCTTTCTATGCTTTAAAGGTCAAATGTTGCTTCCTGCATGAATCCTTCCCTTTCTCTCTGCATGCATTATACTTTGTATTCTGTTATAGCATTTGTAACGATTTGCCTTTTGGCAATTTAACAATGTACCTTTCTATTACACACACCTCCCCCCACCTGAGCCCCTTGAGGACAGTTTGCCTGGCTCACTTTGTACACATCACAGTGTTTGGTGCTCAACTGTATTTTCCTTTAGTCCTACATTCCTCACATCCCTGTTTCTAGCCAATTTCTAGGCTTTGATAAGTCAGATATACCCCAAATTTCCCACCCTACCCCCATTTCCAACATAGGGCCTGATGAGGGAAGGCCAATGGAAGCCAGAAATCCAGTCCAGTACAGTTGGCCTGGGGATGGGCAGAGAGAGCGTTAAAATCTCCTGATTATTCCCACAGCTTTCCAGAAAGCATAATCTTTGTAGGCTTTTTTCCATTCCATCAGAAGAGTTTTCTGATGCTCTACACTTGGAAACCATCTGGTTTAGGCCCTCATTCTATAAAAGCGATAAACCCTCAATAAAAGCAGGCTCTTATTATCCATTAGTGTAGAAAACACAGAAAATTGAAGTCCCAGATAAGCCCACACATTCACATAACCTAGAATATTTTGCTCTAAATGTAAGAACTGTGAGGCTGTGGTGTGTGATGCCGTGTTGATTACTAAGCTTGGTTTGGGTGACCTAGCCACTGGAGGCAGCCGCTTCCTCACTGCTCCACATGCAGCCTCCCAGAGGTGGGCATCTTGTCAGCGAGGGAAGAGATTCCAAGGTGCATTATTGCCTGGCTCTTTTGCCAAAGCCCCCAAATAACTCACAGAGTTCATTTGCCCAGAGAGAGTCAAGCTGCCAACTCTTTGCCCATCCTCCTTAACAAGTCCTGCTATAATGACACGCCTCTAGGGAAGAGGCAAATGAGCGAGAAAATTGCTACTTTCTGGGAGAGTTGGTGGGAAATGGCATAATATTTTTATTATTCCCTCTTCACCCTCCTCCATGGCGCATAGCAAGTGCTATCTTGTCTACTTGAACGTGTTTCTTGTATTCCTCCCTGTGCTTTGTTCTCGCTAATCCTCGCTTACAGCAAAAGCCCCTACATTACACACCTGGAGATATAGATATAGATTATATATATATTTAAAAAGAACAATTCACTGGTTTTAGTATATTCACAGACATGTGCACCCATCCCCACAGTCAATTTTAGAACATTTTCATCACTTCAAAAAGCAGCCCCACACCCTTTAGCTGTCTCCCCCCAACACTATTCTCCCCCCTAATCCCCAACCCTAAACAACTAATCATCTATTTTCTATCTCTATAGATTTGCCTATTCTGGACATTTCATTAAAATGGAATCATGTAATATATGTTCTTTTGGGACTGACTTCTTTCACTCAGCATAATGTTTTCAAGGTTCATCTATATTGTAGCTTGTCCCAGTGCTTCATTCCTTTTTATGGCCCAATAATATTCCATTATATGTTTAGAACACACTTTGTTTTTCCATTCATCAATTGATACATATTTGAGCTATGTCCACCTTTTGACTATCATTAAAATGCTGCTGTAAATATTGTATGCAAGTTTTTGTGTGCGCATATGTTTTCAGTTCTCTTGGGTGTATAGCTAGGAGTGGAACTGCTGGGTCGTATGGTAACTATGTGTTTATACACTTGGGCTCTTGCAATAACCTCCTAACTGGTCTCTCTGTCTCTATTTCCCAACCTCCACCCCTATGTTGCTTTTAGGCTTATATTACTCTTTCTGAAACATTGCTTTCACCATGTTTTATTCTATTTTAAGATCTATAATACTTTACCATTGAGAAGCTCACTATCAAATCCTAATTCTTTCTTCTAGATCAACCTATCAGTGACCTAGCTACATCTTGCTTATCTAACTGTATTTTTCACTTTTTCTAGACTCTAGGTATGCATCTTCTGTACCATTCAGACATGGTCCTCATTATCATCTAAATACACTATGATTATTTCGGCCTCTGCATTTTGTTTTATATGTTTCCCCTTTATAGACTGCCATTCCTCCAGCTTCCCACTTCACCGCTCCTTACCCATCCTCTAAGCCCCAGCTGAAGGCTTTATCTACTGAACCGTTGACGGCCACTCCTGGGTCCAGTGATTCCTCTCTGTTCTCACTGGCAACAACCAATGAGAATACCTTCTCTTGTCCTTTGTTGCTCTCAATTTTATGTGTGTGAGTATTCTCAGCTGGCTAGAATATAATAAGGTACTTGATGGAAGGGACTAAAATGTACCCTTCTCTAACCTTCATAACACCTAGACCTTGGGGAGTGGAAGACCATTTTCAGAGTAGGATAGAGAATGGACTAAAATGAGAGACTAGAGGCACAAATAGCAGTTGGAGGCCATGGTCTTAGCCTGGGCATGAACAATGTGGGTGATGCTGGTGAACATGGAGAGGAAAGCCTTGTCGCCAGGGATAACAGAAAAAAACAACTAAAAATGACTCCATGGTTTCCAGCTCATGAGACCTGAAGAATGAGGGAGGTGCCATTGATCACAATGGAAAAGTTATCAGGAATAAGGTGGTGCTTCTAAGTTGGGATGTGTTCAATTTGAAGAGAGGAGAGGTGGTAAAAGAGAGAAGTCCTGGTGCTGTTTTACAGAGACTGCGGGCAAGTGGAGACTCAGGAGCCATCAGAATAGAAATTAGAGCCTCGCGCTCTGCCTTCCATTATTCTCATCCTCCCTCCATCCGCCTTTTATTTCCTCCATTCTGGGTTTATTTCCTTTTACTTCTGCTCCTTCACCTCTCCTTTACCCTTCTGTCTGTTATTTATCTCCTCACTCCCTTTTTCTACATTTATCTTTCTCCATTTCTTCTTAATTTCCATTTCTGCTTCACACATCTGCTTTCTTTTCCTAAAGCTTCTCCCCTTTCGACATCTCTCCTTTTTTCTATTTATATATGCATCTTGGTCTCTCTTGTTTCGCTTTCTACTCCCTTCTCCCCATCAAAGGACAGTTCCTCATAGTTGTCTACCCTTTTTTTGTTTCTCCTCTCGTCTTGCCCCACCTACCTCCTCCCAGAACACACACCTACACGTCCCCTCTGTCTAATGTACATGTCCCCTCTGTGTCTAATGGTGCCCGCTTTCATCCCTGTAGGAGATACAGCAGCGGCACGGTCTGGCCAACTCCATCTCTTCCTACCTGATTAAGCCCGTCCAGAGGATCACCAAGTACCAACTGCTCCTGAAGGTACCTCCCCTCCCCTGTGTGTCACCCCCTACCACACTACTCAGCAGGCCAGGGAGTCCCAGCTTTGCACAAGGATGGGAAAGCTTCTACCTGAAGAGCTTTCCTCTACCTAGAGCACAACTTCAGAGATGAGCCCGTGCTGCCATTGCTGGCTCCAGACTGCACGTCCTAGCCTGTGAAATTCAAGATGCTGATTTGTTAGGGGAAAGAGGAAAAGTGGGAGCAGGAACAAGTTGTGACTATTTTCACACCCTTCTGCTGCACAACTTACAGTGATTGCCACCCCAGGCACTGGTTGGTACTTAGAGCCTCTCTGTCCTTCCCTCCTGGGACAGATTCCTCCTGGTAACCCCTGCTTCTGACAGGATCAGGGGTCAAGGTCTTAGGGACAGTCTACATGGGCAGTAGACGCCCAGGGCAGCACCTACCATTGCCTCAATCTCTATTTGTCGAGACTATGATGTTTTTGAGAGAAAATAGTCAAAGAGTACATATTAAAACACAATGACACTCTTGTGTTTGTAGGATCCCATATGTTAGGGATTCTTCTGGAGCCAACGAAGAGATTTGGATTTTCTCCAAAATCTTTTCTTTAAAAGTCAAATAATCAAATTATGTAAAATACTAAATACTTTGGGCAGATTCTTTTCAGAGAAAGATACACTGACAGTCTGAAAATATGACATTTCCCCAGAAAGCCTGGGAAATCGATACAGGCAGTTATGTAACCCCTGTCTATATTAATTCTTAAGGCATAAGGGTGGAGTTTTCCCTAAGCTTGAATATTTTGCTGGTTGCTCCTCAAATGCAAAGTAGAGAGGAATAGTGAGAGGCATGTTATTAGTAGCATAGCTCCAGAGAAAATCTGATAAAATTCAGCTCATGTTTAGAGACACTTGCAGAATCTCACATATTCTAGCTTCACTAGACCTGAAAACTAGTCTAGTTTCAAATCTAGGTTTCTAGTGACTTGCGGTAGTATGCCCATCATGCTGGCCCATCGGATCTCACTGGCTTAGTGCTTGTGGTTCCGTGGTGAGAAGAGTGGGGGCAGCAGTGAGCCTGTGCCCTGGCCTCTCTGCCCCGCTCTGTGTCAGGGCAGGGCCTGCACCATCCTTTCCCTTCAGCCTCCTTCCTCCAACCTTCTCCTTCCTTATCTCCAAGAGGAGACTGTGGGCTTCTGCTTCCAGGCACTCAAGTCTTCCAACCCTGCAGAAATGCCTTAGAGAATTATACCGCGGCATCGTGCCCTTGGCCTTGATCCAGGGCTAGTGTGAGAAGTAACAGTGTGCAGAACATCACAACTATTTTGGCAGAACCGCTTTTGAAGATGTCATCCTCTTTGTTTTTTGAAGTTTCTTATAAAAGACTCACAGAAATTCTCATAAGATCTCAGAGTAGAGCCTGGGGAGTTCTTTCCTGAAAAATTGGTGTGCTTTCTACCTTTAAATCTTAAGAGCTTTAGGTCCTTCTTTGTGCCTTTGACTATCAGATAGTTAGCGTTGAGTTCTCTGGTTACTTACAGTACAGTCCTGCATCGCTTAAGGATGGGGATAAGTTCTGAGAAATGCATCATTAGGCGATTTTGTCATTGTGCAAACATCATAGAGTGTGCTTACACAAACCTAGATGGTGGAGGCTACTACACACCTAGGCTATATGGTACTAATCTTATGGGACCACCATCAAATATGCGGTTCATCGTTGACCGAGACGTCGTTATGCAGCGCATGACTTTAGTTTCTCCTTAGCCCAGATTTCTGTGTATAATTATCTTCTCCTTCCCTATCCCTCTTAATGCTTGACCTTTCTAGATGATTTTTCTTTTACCAGAAGATTTTTTAAATTTTATTTCTCTGGTTTTTTAATTTAAGTATCCCAAAGCCTTTTCAGGAATTGGTTGGATTGTAAATTAGAAAACAAAAAGCCAACTTGCCCACTACCGGTGTCTTAAATCAAGTAAAATGCAGTTCTAAGGGAAATAGAGCTTTTCACCTCTCCCTGTTAATCCCCTAAGGCTGAGGTTCCTGGGATTAATTGCATGACACAGACAAATGAGAGAAGTAGAGGATGGGTAGGCTGTCCTGTGTTTTGGTTTAGACAGGTGGAGGGGTGGGGTCTGGGCCTTCATTCTGTGATTAAATGTTTTAGTAAGAAGTGATTGTGCAGGTAACTAAGAAGGGGAAAAATGAAGTAATTGGAATTTGATTATAGGGCAAGTTATAAAATTATTGGAAAAAAGACAAGGGAATTTTGGCCTCTTTTAAATGTGCTGGTAGCAGAGTACCTGCTGAGTAAAAGGAAAATAGCTTGCTGAGCTTTTACTATAAATAAATAATATGGGATTTATTTTCTCATTAAAGTCAATTTTACTCCAAATAAATTGATATTTAATTATCAGTATCTTCCGGGGTTCCTCAGTTTAGGTGTTGCATGAAAGTAAAAACTATATGTCAAAGTATTCAATATTCTCCGTGTAAATCTGCTACAGCTGTCCTTTTGGAGTCTAAATTAAGCGTGGAGTCCTCTCCTGATCATAAATTATAGCAAGGATCTGAGAACTTATTGGCTTTGCTGGTAGATTGAGAGACTTGCCAAATTGCTTTGGGGGGCTTAAACTAATTGGTGTTTTATGTTGCAAACTGAAGCATATTTCTTATTTCTCTCTTATGTTTCTGCTTCAGGAGTTCCTTTGATGATGTATGAGAACAAGGTTGGGAGGGTTAAAATTAGGAAGGGGGTGGGGAGAATCAGAGAACTTCAGGTTGGCAGAAGTAAATGCAGCTTTCTGAACAATGATGCCATTATACTACCAGAACCAAGCAGAGCTGAGAACTGATCACTTCTACCTTCCAAACGTGTGCTCTGGGCAGTTCACCTCTTCTTTAGACAAGCAAAGCTCCCTTGTTCATATGGGAATGTATCTAAGATAACACAAAGGATTGGATTTTTATATCAGATGCCCACGAATCAGATAGCTTACCAAGTATAAGCTTTACTAATAATTTCAAGGATACAAATAATTCCAAAGCAGAGGTAAAACAGAAGTCCAGGACCACCAACAGTTCCAAGACCTTTCTTGCAGCATCAGGATGTTCTGTGTCCCAGATTAACGTACAAGGTCATCTAAATGATGTATGTTGCATCATATCACTTACCCTGAAGAGATCCATTTTGGTTATGCAATGGACTCACTTTTTACTTAGATAGTTGCATAGCTTATGTGATACTTTCCAGGGAGCAAACCCCCTAAAGCCACAGATTCCAGGTTTGTTTATCATAAGAAGTCCTAGACAGGCCAGATATATCCTACTAAAAGCATTCCATAGATAAGGACTCTCCTGCTAGCAAGTACCATTAGTTTATTTGCCAAGAGATCTGTCATTAATGTATTAATGTTTGATCTGGTCAACTTCTTTCTTTCCTGGAAGTAAATTCCCATCCATTCATCCCCTGCCCCCTGCTCCCCTTGCAGTGACAAAGTGAGCAAGGTACAATAACCCTGACAGGGAAAATGAAAGCCAGCATCCCTCTGGTTTGGGCAAAATCATTCCAAATGGTCTTTATGATTCCTGAGATAGTTGGAAGTTATCTTTTCTCCATCAACCAGATACTATGTATCTTTTATGGAGATGGTCTAGTCTCCAATGAGGAAGTAGAAAAGGGAGGGCATGGTCTGGGGAGTCTCAGTGTGGTGGGGGACATGGGGGAGACATTGTTGGCATGATGGATGGAGTACTGGACTTGGATCCAAAAGACCTAGATTCAAGCCCCTACATGAACTCCAATGAATTCTATAATCTGGAGGAAATCTCTGTCTCTCTTAATCACAGTTTCCTCATTTGACAATGAAAGAACTAGTCCAGAATCCCATCTGTTGGCCCCAGGTTAGGAACTCCTGATCCATATGATCTAAAAAATCTTTTATACTTCTGAAATGCTGTAAACCTATAATGTCTATAACCCCAGGTTGCTCCCAGTATGGTAGAAGTCAGCATTCAGGCGGTAGAAGCATGTAATAAAAGTGGTGCTAGCAGTAGGTATGCGGCGTGGCATATGAGTGCCATGCATCATTGCAGACCCATTGTCTCCTCTTGATGATTCCACAGTGCTGCACCTCTGTTCATGTGCTTTGCCAGGGGCATTTCCTTCTCCAGGAGGGCAGTCAAATGACAGAAAATGCCCTACTTGCTGACTTAGAGTGCTAGCCATTTGGAAGTTGGGTTGAATTGTGTTAGTTTGGATTGAATTGAGCTGAGGAAGCTCAGTCTAGGAAAAAAATAGAGGTTGAATTCTTTGGAAATAACCTCCCACCCCACCCACTTTCTTTATAGCTTAGAGGGAACCATTACAAAGAATGAAGCTGGTGTATAATTGCCTTGCTGGGTTAGGTGTGGGAGGGTGGGGAAGCTGGGGAAATGGTTCTAATTGTGTCTGGACTTTTTTCCCAGGAACTCTTAACTTGCTGTGAAGAAGGGAAAGGGGAGCTCAAGGATGGCCTGGAGGTGATGCTCAGTGTCCCAAAGAAAGCCAATGACGCCATGCATGTCAGCATGCTGGAAGGTAGCTGTCCTCCCAGCCTCCCTGGAGGAGCCCCCTCCTTTCCTAAGACCAGGGTGCTCATGGGAGGGAAGTGGCATGAAATCAGGCAAGGGGCAAGCTAGAGGAGAGGTCAAATGGCAAGTTGTTACATAGGTCCTCGGAGGTGTGAGGGGAGCTCCACCGGGGCCAGCTCGGCTAACATCGCCTCCAGGTAGGACCAGGCCTAGGCTGTTTCGGGTACATGGACAGTTTGCTGCCTGTGAGGTGTCTAGGACAGGCCATCATCCTTACTATAAACGTGCTAGAGCCCTGACCCACAGCAGTCCTGTTCTCTGCACAGCATCTGCATTGCATTTGTCATCAGAAGAAGTAGAAATCCTGTGCATGCACACACACATACACACAAACACAACATCTTCAGCCTTATGCCCTTCTTTTTTTTATTGTAAAAAATATCTATAACATAAAGTTTACCATTCTAACCATTTTTAAGCATACTATTCAGTGGCATTAAGTACATTCACATTGGTGTGCAACCACCCTTATGCTCTTCCTAGCACTGAGAAAAGTCCAGCCAGGTAAACCTGATAGGACTCCACCGAAGCACATTCAGTTTACTGGAACCATGTTCTTGGGGCCCAGAAACCCAGTATAGTAAGACTCCCGTAAAGTGCTCTTAACACCACAAAACAGATGGGCAAAGCAGCCATATTGGGTGGAAGTCGTTAGGTGAGTTAAGACTTAACATCCCAGTCCTGGGCTGGCAAACAGGTATTAAGGGAGATAAGTGTAAATATGTAAACCTGTGGGCTGTTTTTTCTCTTCTGGGCTCTATCTCCCCCATCACCTCCCCTCCCATCCCACCCCCATCTAAAAGACTTGGCTGGTCTCAGTACTTCCTGGGCCACCCTTAGCACAGGAAGCCCCAATTTTTCATTCAAAGGAGCCCTGGTTACCTTCTCCAGACTGAGCACTGACCATATGAATGTTTTCCTGTTGTCACAATTTCTCCACTGCTTTCTTTGCTGTTACCCCCACCCCCACCCCAGGTGTCCTCCTCTGTAAGTTCCCTTCTCCTCCAGCCTGTCCCTGATCTGTATTCCAGATCCAGCTACTCCAAGCATGGTCTGTGGACCAGCAGCAACAGCACCTGGGAGCTTGTGAGAGTGCAAATGTGTGGGCTCCACCACACACCTACTGAATCCCAATCTCTTGGGGGGCTGAGGGGTGGGCAGGAATCTGTGGTTTCACAAGCTTTCAAGGTGAGTCTTATGTACACTAAAGTTTCAGAACCTCTGTCAAAGGTTTAAAGTGGTATAAATATAAACTGTTGAAGGCTTATGCACTGCACTGTACAGAAGCAATCAAAGGGAAAAGTCCTACAAATGGAATATAAGAAAGAAAGCCACGACAAATAAAGTGGAGTCAAGGACACTCAATCAGGCAGTGTTTGTCCTCAGCCCCTCTCCGAGCTCCGAGTCAGGGACAATGGGGAGCTGTGGAGGAAGAAGGAGATGGGGTTTGCCCTTGCAGGAAGTCCCAGGCTAACAGTGGGGCTGGAGGAGGTTCATAGGACCTTGGCAGGAGAGTCCACTAATACCGGTTGTGTAGAGGAGACCTAGTGCAGGAAGGGGGATCTGATTACAGTTGCATAGAGCTGCCCACTCAGGTGTCCAGAAGTCTCAGGAATCAGCGGAGAGAGAAAAGCACTGTGGTAGCTGAGGGTTCCCAGATAGGGAAGCCTTTCTCCAAGGGGGGAGTGGAACATGGCGCCCCGAATGTGGCATAGAGAAACTCCACAGGGTGGACATGGGTGTTTTTCAGGATTCGACGAGAACCTGGACGTGCAGGGGGAGCTGATTCTCCAGGATGCCTTTCAAGTGTGGGACCCGAAGTCGCTGATCCGGAAGGGACGGGAGCGGCACCTGTTCCTCTTTGAGATCTCCTTGGTTTTTAGCAAGGAGATCAAAGACTCTTCAGGACACACGAAATATGTTTACAAGAACAAGCTACTGGTAGGTGGGGCCAGTGGGGCAACACCAGACTCCCTGTTTTCGTGGAGCCCTTGGGCAGGAAGGGGTCTCGAACGCTCAGCTCCTCTCTCCCCCTGGCGCCACACCAAAACCATCCTGGACAAATGAAAGTGCCTCCTATTTGGAAAGCGCCCCCCTCAACTTCCCCTTCTGCATTTTAGAGTTCACACGTCTTCTTCCTGTTTGCTTTTAGCACTTCCCTCTTCACCTTCCCTCCCTGCTACCTGCTAACCAGGCACGTGCCTGTAAGTCCTTCCATCCTGGGTAGATGAACAGAACCTCCAGTCTGTTGAAGTTTGATTGACAGAGCCCCTCCCTCGGTCCTCTCCTCTTTGTTGCCTTCCCTTCCCACCCCAGCCCTAAGTTTCCCCACTGCCCTCCCCTTCCCCGCCTCTCACAGGCATTTCCTGTCTACAGACCTCAGAGCTGGGTGTGACCGAGCACGTGGAGGGTGATCCCTGCAAATTCGCCTTGTGGTCCGGGCGCACCCCGTCCTCAGACAATAAAACAGTGCTAAAAGTAAGTACTGCTCTCTGCTGGGCACAAGACCAGCGTTGGGGTAGCGGAGGTGGGGTGGAGGGATGTGGGCACATTATACCTAAAGGCTGGGGCCTGGAGACTCCACTGAGCCACTGGGCCTTTCTTGGGAAGGCAGCATCACATGGGTATTGAGAAGCAAATTCTATCGTGATAGTAGACTGGAAATCTTGAAGACCAGTGGTCTCCGAAGTCCATGCACTTGTATGAGCATAGAGAGAAGAAGCAGGGAGCAGTCTATTGGGTTTCCTCAACAGGGCCCTTAACTATGTTCTGTCCATATGTCCCCTCCAAGTGGCAAGAGCAACAGTTGCCCCTTTGACAAAAGGCACCTTGATTTATGCTACATTCATTCGACATTTTTTCCTGAACACCATCTATATATAAGGTGTTCTGCTCAGTGCTGTGGGGGATAGTTATGTATAAGATATGGACCCTATCCTCTAGGGACTTACATTCTAGAAGCTCTAGTAAATTACGCTAGCATGGGAACTGTGCTAATTCAGAGGAGTGTTAAGAAAGGGCCTTTCATCAGATGACGGCCTTAAAGAGTCATTTCAGCTCTCCAGAGCACAGCAGCCTGGGAACTGGGTCAGTGCTTGTGGTAATGTTAGTCTCACTGAGAAGAGAGCCTGCAGATGGAGCCCCCACCAGTCATCTGCTTATCAGGGAAGTGCCCATCACCAAGGAAAAGATGGTCCAATCCTGACAGAAGCGTCATGCTTGTCCACTCTGAATTGTCAGCATGGCTGCTACCTGTCATGAGGTAGAATTACCTGAAAAAAATTCCACAAAGACAAATGGGATATTCAGGAATGGTAGCAATGCCTTCAATTAACAGGTTTCCCAGGCTAAAAACCCAGGACTGACTTTCAACCAGTACAAGCCTATGTAGCCAATATGAGGTGTTGAATGTCCTGACAGTTATCCACACCAGTTGCTAAATAGCAGTGCCTTCAAATGCCCCCTCACTGCCCTTCCCAGTGTTCCCCAGACCTCCCCAGAATCTAATAAGTGAAGGGTTAATCCCTGGCCCAGCGGGGGGCCTCCAGCTACTGCTCCAGCCCCAGGGCAGGTATCAGTGTTGGTCAGTGCCTTACAGGTTATTAAATACTTTGAAAATCACCCCTGAACAAGTCTCCATTGAGTCTTGAGGTCGTAGCCCTGTGCTAGGTGTTGGAGATGCACATCTCTGGGATTGAAGAGTCATAAGTATAAAATGAGAAATAAACTCCTCGAGCATTTGATATCCTTGAAAATAATGGATTAAGCCTGCAAGAGGAGGTTTGAGAACTGTTTTGGCGGGCTGAAGGGAGATGGGGTTCTCACTCTTTCTCCCTGTGGCACTCCAGGCCTCCAACATAGAAACCAAGCAGGAGTGGATCAAGAACATTCGAGAGGTGATTCAAGAAAGGATCATTCACCTGAAAGGAGCTTTAAAGGAGCCAATTCAGCTCCCCAAAACACCAGCCAAACAGAGGAACAATAGTAAGAGGTAACCAGCGTCTCTCCCCCCAGCACTGCCTCACAGGCTTCCGGGAGCGGGAACAGGGTGAACCTTTGCTTCCACGGGGGCAGTGTGCTCTGCAGGTGGCACCCCTCTCCGTGAAGGGGAGGGGTGGCACTGCTCTCCACCCCTCTCCACCGAATTCTACCTAAGATGAGTCATCCCCTCTTTAAGCATCTCGTCGGTTACTGTCAATGAAATTCAGCAGGGTCTCACTGAGCTTATTTTTGAGAGACACTCTGCCAGGTGCTGCAAGAAGATAAAAGGAAGTGTAAGATGAATCCATCCCCTCAAGAACCATCTCACCGTCATGTCTCACCCATGGACTAGTTAGACAAGAAGAACCAGTACCACATGTAGGGACAGTAAATGCTGTAAGAATTCAAAGAGAGGGGACTTTAGATGAGCACCAGAGTAGAGTGTCTGGGGAAGGCTTTGGGAAGGAGATGGGCTGTGAGTGGGGAGCTCTCTCGACTGTTTAGATGGTAAAAGGGCTTTGCACACTGTAATGTGTGGGGGGTACGATGGTTGGGTTATCCTTACAGCTCTTACTGCAGCCCCCCCGAGTCCTCACCCTCATTCATCCCAGATAAGCAATGTGATCGGGCAGACAAGGACTTATTCTTTGTATCTTCATCTCTCTGGGCCCTTCTAATCCCAGTTTCCCTTAGAACAGTGGATGACTTCTTAAGTATTTCTTTCTCAAGTCTCCCTGTGACAGTCACCTACGATGAGTCTTTTAGGGCACTTCAAAAGAAAGCATACAAACACTTCATGTCAACTTTGGGAAAAAAAAAAAAAACGGACTTCTGGGGCTGATGCTCATTGATGGTAACAGGCTCTTCTCTCCTCCCCTCTTCCTGAATGGAATACATCCGGAAGATTTAGTTGACCCTTTGGTGCCAACCAGTATACACAAGCGGGGAGCCACCACAGGTCCTGCAGAGTAGCAGCATTAGTCCAGAGGGAGGTGGTAGCCAAAAGAAGGGTGTGACTAAGGTAGAGAGAGATACCACACAGGGCAGAAGCCCCAAGACCGGTGTGGCCAGCATAAGGTCACCTCTCAGTGCTGAAAAGATAAATTGAGACTGTATTGGGGGAGGGGTCATTTTGATTTCAGTTACCCATGTCCAGAGTCCAGGTAAGGAGTAGATTCAGCTTAGCACTAGAGACAGACCCTGCTGCAGGAAGCCCCTACTTTAATAAAGAAGACAGAATGGAAACAGTTATAAAGAACTGAATGTCCAGGACCATAGGGGGAAAGGATATTCAGGTGAGGCTGGCTAGAGTTACTCTGTGAAAGAGCCCCTTTTTCCTATAGTAGGAGAGTTTGAGCATCTCTCGAACATGGGATGGACATGACATACCTTGGAAATACCCCCCACCTTTTCTCTGTCATTGTCCTGTGATGAGAGGGTAAGAAACCTTGCAGACACTGCAGAGAACAGCCAGGCAATCTGTAATTTCATGAGCTTGGCTCACTGGATATGGGGACAGGGTTTACGGAGGAGTGGATTGGCTTAGAGAATACTCCCACACTTCTGGATGGGCTCCCCACATCCCCCAGAACTGGCTCCATCTGGAGTGGACCAGAAAGGCCTGCTTAGTGGGAAGCAGAAAGTACAGCCAACTCGCAACTATCTACAAATGGTGGGGAGCAGTGGCCCAGATATCTAAAACAACAGATGATCTAAAAGTCCTTTATTTTTAGTTTTGAAATACATCACATAATTTCTTTTTACAGCAGATTTTCCTTCGTACGAATGTGTGGCTTATATTATTAAAATAAGTTGACATTTCCCAAGCCCACAAGTGTTTGGTGAAAGAGCAGTCAACTTAGAAGTGTTCTGGGGAGAAAACACTTGTTATGTCTAGTAGACACTGTCTGTATACATATGCATCACATGTATGCCCACATGCACACGCATGTCCACATACACTCACATTCACCAGATTGTGGTTGTTTAGACTCTGTGAGGTAGCTTCAATATATGGGGCATTTTGCTATGTGGTGACATCCTCAGGCAATGAGTTCCCATTCCTTCTAATACCATTACTTCTCCATAAGCAGCATCAAGGCTGTGACTTTCATCAAAGCCTCTGTGGGAAGAGCTGTCATTTCCTGTGCTAATTTATCCAAGCCCTGGCCCACATCTGCTCCAGTTTTTCCTGACACAGACCATTCAGCCTTCACCAGTTCCCAGGCGTCTAATCCCACTTGGCCCTGGCTGTGGGTTCAATGCAGAACTGTGGGTTCGACACAGTTCTAAGCTGGAGAGCTGAAGGAGCCTGTGAGTGGGACAGCTATATGGTCCAGGGCCCAGGAAGGAGTCCAAAGTCAAGATTGCTCTCGGGAGCCGTCTTATCAGGCGCTCAGGAGCACAGCTGGCTCAAAAGCGGCTGTGGATTCTGTGACTGTTCTCTTATCTTTGAGAAGATGCCTTGGCCTTCTGTGTTGATAAGAAGTCATCGTAAATAAGCATGAGATCAACAAGACCCACCAAAATGAAGGCAATAAACTCCTCCTCCATCCCCAGGAGTTGAGAGTTCAGCATCAGGAACTTCCCAAAGATAATCTCCCCTGGAGAAAATATCCCACTCCATTTTCTTGAGCAGAAGAAACACAAGTCAAAAAAATATCTTATCAGTTCTGTTTTCTTTATATTCCAGCTATAAGCCAACCCCCATCTTGTTACAGCAGCAGAAAAACTACTTGAATACCCCGAACTCTGGGATTGTTGGCGATGACCCAGTCAGCCGGATAGAAGCCTAGGTTCTAAGTAGGATATACCTCTTCCTACTGCCTATTATAGACCCAGTCCCAGGAAAAATAATTGCCCCCTCTGCACCACGGGCCAGAGGAGTTATGGAGAAGGAGTCATTTTGTGTTCAGTTATCAACATAGTGATTTACCGTGTTTACTAAGTGCAAGAGGTGACCTCATTGAAAATCACATAGGGCTGCTCCCTTTAGTGGGATAATTTTAGACAAATCCCTGCTAGAAAGTGCTGAGGCTCTGCCCTGCCAGCCCAGCTGGAAATCCTTGTGTGCTCTAAACCCACAGTGGTTCCCCCCGCCCCCACCCCTGTTTTTTTTCTCTTTTTCCCACAGGGATGGAGTGGAGGATGTTGACAGCCAGGGGGATGGGAGCAGCCAGCCAGACACCATCTCCATTGCATCTAGGACCTCTCAGAACACAGTGGACAGTGACAAGGTAGGACAGTGCCCCAACCTTCCTTCCCCCAAGACTTCTTGTTGGCTTAACCGCCCCTGGAGAGTTACCCCCAGAGGAATTTCTCCCACTGTGGAGCCTAACCACAGGGGCCAGTTGTCTCTTTGTGCCAGCCAAAGGGGAAAGAGCAGGGCTGGAGGAGGTATGTCACAGCGTGGAGACCTTGTCTGAGGGGGCAGAAGATTGGGGCGGTCAGCCAGACCTCTCATGTTGTGAGAGTTTAGCAGAAGTGGCGAGGATGAAGAATGAGAGGGTCTGGGTCTCCTCTCCTTCTGAGCTGCCCCACCCGAGCTGCTTGGGCTGCTCTGCCTTCTGGGAGGCTGGGACTCAGGGAGCTGAGGTTGGGATAGTTTCCTGAGACCTTAGTGGCTGTGATTGGCTCATATTTATAATTATTTGAATGGGGCTCATCACAAAGTTAGACCAAGACCAATGATTTGGGAAATGGCCACAGAGATGCTGGTTGGTAGGGGCCTCCTATCCAAAGGATCCCTGGTGGAAACGATGCCTTCCTCTGGCCAGGTTATTGGGGGTCAGTTCCTGAAGGGTGGAAGACCAGGAAGTGGTGCATGAAACAGCCTGTAGGGATGTAGTAGTCTTGTGAGAAAGCCTGATCACTTGCTCTCTTACATTTGGAGCAAGTAGGCAAAAATTAGGAGCTCTGATAGGGAGTGAGAGAAAGGAGACTGTAGCAGAGACTCAATGCGTTTGCTCAAGCTAGGGGAAGAATTCAACTGTCTGAATTTGCAGCAGAGACAGGGGAAGGCTTTGTCTCTGACCCTACTCTCACTCGCTTACCTCAGGGTTGGAAGGGTATGAGATGATCTTTTCCTGCATATTAGTAGTTTTATTAATGAAGATATGGATTTAGCCCTAGTATTTAGACCTATTATTTTGGCCTAGTCCTTCAGCCCCAGGCAACAGGCTGTGTCCTTGCTTCATTTTAGTTTCCTAAGTTATGAGTATTTTTTTAAGATGATATGCATTCATTAGAATTTTTCTTAATTTTTTTCTTACTGGGAAGAGAAGGCTATGCCCAAAATCTCCTAAAATCATGGTGCTAAATCATGCTCTAGACCAGTGTTCAAGGACATTCAAGGTTTTTCTATCTGACATCATGCCTTCAAGTTTCTAAGCCATTTTTGACTATCAGAGTGGATGGAAAATTGGTTTTTTCCACTTGTAAAAACATACAAAGAAAACTATTTCTGTACTTTCCTTTCTCCTCTGATCTGTTGTTTAGAAATATAACCTAGAATATCCTATGAATGAAAGCATTTCTTTTTAAACAGTCGGTGGTAAGTGAAGTGCAGTGTTTCCCATGTTCAGACATAGCCTGTTAGTTTCATGGTCCAGGGGATGCATTCCTTCCAGCGGCTACTCCATCTTCCCCCCAGCCCTGACTTAAACACAGACCCCCACGCTAGAGCCTTTTGCCTCAGGAAGCCCTCAGCTCCAGTCACTCCTTGTCTTCTGGCAAGGTAAGGGAGGCTAGATTAGAACACCTCTGATAGCAAGCATTTCATTATCAGTGAGGAATCCCAGTCCTTACACGTTATTCTACAAGTAAGGAAACTGAGGCTCAGAAAGACTGAGTGACTCACCCAAGAAAATTCTAGTAGTCAGTGGAAAAGCAGGAACTAGAACCCAGATCTCCCTGATTCACTCTCATGTTTTTCCCTTACTCTAAAAGTCAAAGCGTTGAACTCCCAACATTAAGATTAACTCAGCTGGTTAGTCTTTCTGCACATTCCACAAAAATATCAGTCACATATTCATGAAAAAGCACCCACCATGTGCCGAGCTCTGTGCTGGATACTGTAGAGAGATGTGGACTGTTTGTTGAGTGTGAATCCTATTTGTGTAATTTTTGTTTCGTGTGTGTCTCTACAGCCAGGCTGTTAAGCCCTGATGGGGGCAGGGGTTGTGTCTGTCTGTTTCACTGCTCTACCCCTGGCACACAGTACACACAGATGCTCCGGAAATACTTGTGGAATGAATAATCAGAGGGGGTGTGGTCCCTGATCTCAGGGAACTCCAGCATTCATTAAGAGGCAGCTAAAACAGGTGGTCTGAAAGCAGCCAAATATACAAACATTGTATTTTTAAATATGCTAAAGAAGCCTAGAAATTTCCTTACCTCCAAGCAGAAAGCTTTAGTCAGCTGGTGAGCCTGACCTGTTGGGAACATTAATCCTAACTACCTTCTCAGGCCTTGGGAGACGTGGGCAGCAGGTTGGGAGATGATGAGAGATTCTGTGTTCCAGACACAAAACCTGGAAAATCACTTAGAAATAGTCATACTTTCAGAATAAAATAAAGAAAGGGCCTGTCTGTGACCATGCACTGTAATTTAGAATGTTCTTACTCTTCTAACACATAACAGTGGTAAGAGGAGTCGTAAGAGGACAGCCACGTGTCCCCCCTTAGCCTGCACTCCCCTTCGTCAGAGAAACCGTTGATTGGTATCTTTGAATTCATAGATGTTATCAACAGTGTTAAATTTTCCCCTAGCTATCCCAGACGACCAGGGAACTGGTGTCCATTGGTTTCCAGGTGAACTTTAGAGTCAGGTGAACAGACTCTGAAGAAGAGAAAGATAACAAAGTGGGTCGATTCAGGTAAACTGAACCGTATTCAACAGAAGGGCAAACAAGGGTGGCTGTGGGGAGGGGATGGGGCAGAGACACCTCACAGGGATCAGGGTTATCTCAACAATGGGTTTCTAGAAAAGGCCCCAGTCTTCCTCTTCTAATCCAGAGGAATTAGAATAGTGGCACTATGGTCTGGGTAGATGGGGAAAATGTAAACATTAAAGGGCCATGACAGACCGACTTGAGGAGCTGTGGGGCCCTGGCACCTCTCCAGTCACCTTGTGTATTTTGTGTGCTTTTGTGGGTGGAAGGGGTTTAAACACACTTGGGTTCAAATCCCAGCTCTGGCATTTACTCTCTGTGTCATGCTGCATGGGTTACTGCGCCTTAAAACAAAGATGATACCGTCTCACTGAGTCATTAGGAAGATTAAGTAAAATATATTTACTTGGCACCTGTTAGACATTCAGCAAAGGTTAATTTTCCACCCTTATGAGAGGGGAAATAAAAGTTTAGATACTATGAATAAGAGCCCACAATTATTTAGCAGACTGTGAGGATCTTTGAAAGTTCTGAGTAGAGTTCTGTGCTCCAGGTTCATCGTTCATTAACTCCTTGTTAGCAGGTTCTTTTCTATATTAGACTTTCTAGATTAGAAATGGAAGTAGCTTCAATTTATCTGTCTATAAATAGAACAACTTACTCCTCTTTCTACTTGCTAGCCCTGAGAGTCCAGGCTTAGATATTTGTTGTTAGCATTGGCTCATGGGGTTATTTTATTATTTAATGGGTTATAATCCATTACTGTCCGGTATTCATTTTAGTCCTCAAATTGTACCACCTTTGGCCAGTGGCAGCCCCTTTATATATTTGAAGATAATTGTCTTGTCTTTTCTCTTAATCTTCTCTGATTGGGTTAGAAGTCCTGTTTCTCTAGCTGTTCTTTGTGTTAATATATTTTCAGACCCTTCCATACCCTGGTTGCCTTCCTCTGGATTTACTGCAGTGTGTACTGATCTGTATAAAATGGGGCATCCAAATGGTACACAATACTGCAGATGTAATCTCATTAATGCAAGCTCAGCTCCTGTTCCAGGGTTCTGATGCCTCGTCTCCTCCCTAAGACGTACACCGTGTCTAGCAGGGGTGTATAGTGTTGGCTCATAAAATCTCCACACCTGTTTTCATGGACTGCCCTTAGTGGGGCAGGTGACGTAGTAACCTGAGTGTCGGACTACTTTATATCTATTAGATTTTTCTCTTGTTTAGTTTCATCCCAGTATTCCAGCATGTTTTGAATATAAATTATTTTGTTCAGTATGTCAGCTACATCTCCCAGCATTATTGGATAAACATACCTTCATCCAAATTCTTGCTAAAAAGACCAGCTTGAAGACAGAAGACCAGTGCCAGGCCCTTCCTCATTTCTCACTCAGGGTTTGACACTTGGAACCCTCCTTGTCTGACTCTTTTTTGGGAAAGGACACTTGCCACTTTTCTCTATAGCGGAGGAGCTGGGATTGCTTATTTAAGTCATAAATCCTCCCCGGATGAGGAATCAGTCTAATATTCTGAATTCTACGTTAAACACTGACAGAGCCAATATAGGTGCCTCAGCAAATGGCATGAACAGCTTTCCCCAAAGTTGCTTTTGTTCATCCCTCAAACGGATCTGCATAATTAGGTTCTACCTTACACCTGTCCCATGCACAAGTGTTATTTCCCTGAAGGCAAATAGGTGGGCTTACTTTGTTCCATCGTGGTCTGAGCCCCTTCCTGTTCTGTCCAGGAATATGTTCATGCTACTCTGAGCGGGATGTTCCACTGAAGAGTCTTTTGCCTATGTGTGTATTATTAAGTGATGGGGCTTTGCAACCACACTTCAAAGAAACCCAGAATTATAGATTTCTAGTCAAGCAAGGCTGAGTACTGAGGGGGCGGTGAAGAAGTATCTTGTTGTTTAACATGATGGACGTCTGCCGAAGAATTTCCGGCTAATGGCGCAGAAATGGCCCTCTGCACAGTGATGGTCCTGTGTATGTATTTACCATTTAGTCTGTGTGGGCTAGAGATGCTTAGTAAACGCTTATTGGATTGACCATCACAGACCCATCCTAGTAGGGATACGCTGCATTCACAACTCACTGAATTTCTAGACAGGTCCAGGCTAGCTGGAGACAGTGAGGCTGAAGTGAGATTGAGTTGCAGGTGCCCCTCTCTGCAAAAATTATAAGGGAAAGAACTCTGCCAGAGCATCCCAGGGCTGACTGTGATTTGAATGAGGAATTTCAATAACAAGCTATTGTGATATAAGATATAAGGTGGGCTGATAATGGCAACATGCTGCAGGGGAACAGGAGAATGTCTGGAGAAGCCTGGAGAGTTCAG